GCAGAGCAGCCGGATGACTGCACGGAAGGGTGGCGGCGTTGAGAGCACACAGCTCTGCAGACACAGCAGAGGGGGATGGGAAAGTCACCTTCCCAGGCGACTCTAGTCTATGTCTAGTAGACAAAATCTAATAGGCACACTCGGGCAATTTGTTGCCTCTGTAGCGCTCCCTAGAATGAAGCAACAGTGTAGGCTACTCTTTGAATTCTGTGAGGTGCTCAAGCTAACGAATTGAACCTGGGGAGATGGGGGTTGCTCGGACTGTGTGAACTGCTGTGTGTGCCCTGTCCATAAGCACTGAAAAACCTGGGATTTTGACCGCATCTAAATAGAGGGCCCAGTGTTGGGCACTCAACCGTCGGGATCTTCCACTATGTTGGTATCAGAATTTAACTGGAGTGGAGGACACCCAGATGTTGTCCACTATTGCAAAATTTAGGCTTGTGGTTAGGGCAAAATCCCCACAGGGTTATTTGTTTATTTGTTTTTGGTAATTTATTTAACTTTTATTTTATGTGCATTGGCATCAGATTTCCTGGAACTGGAGTTATAGACAGTTGCTGGCTGCCATGTGCGTGCTGGGAATTGAACCCAGGTCCATCAGGAAGAACAAGCAGTGCTTTTAACCACTGAGCCATCTCTGCAGCCGGGGGGGGGCCCCCCAGGTTTTGTTTTGTTGGTTTTTCTAGACAGGGTTTCTCTGTATTGCTTTAGAGCCTGAACTGGAACTCGCTTTGTAAATCAGACGGCCTTCAAGCTCACAGAGATCTGCCTGCCTCTGCCTCCAGAGTGCTAGGATTAAAGGTGAAGGCCGCCAATGCCCAGCTCCCCTCACAGGTTTTGTGGTCCCAAGTTTTCTATGTTTATTGCAATGTGAGAATACAGGGAAAATGGGATGTTTGTTTGTTTAGGCAAGTTCTAATTGTGTAGGCCAAAGTGGTCTTCCGTGTTTTGCCAGTAATCAATTGTTGACTTTCTACTCCAAATTTGTACTTCTGGTATGCTAACAATCGATCGCCTTTGCCGTGGCTGTGGTATTAAGCTTGGCCAGTAGAGGGCAATAAAGGAATACCGCAGGAGCATGGCTGTCTCTTCCTTGTGATTCCAGTGTGTGGCTTTTGCTCATTTCTCCAGCTGCAAAGTGAGTCGGTGTGCCAGGAGGTGACAGCGGCAGCGGTGCCAAGTCCCGGTCGTATGCCTAGAAAGCAGTCTCCTCCTTGGGACCTTGCCACCTTGGAATGTGTTTGCTGACCTTCCTTCCCCTTGTGGGGACACAGGGTGCCCCAGGACTGACAACTGAAGCGGCGCCCAACTCTCATTGAGAAGCTATACTCCATACCAGCATCTGTGAGATACAATAACATCAGTGCTTAGAGGGAAATCAGCGCTTTGGGGGTTTGTAAGAAACAATGCAGGAGACCCTGGGTTCAGTCCTCTCAGAACTACAAAACAAATGCTAGGGGAAAAAGCTAATCAAGTATGGAGTTTAACAAACATCAGAACAAACGGAGAAAAAGAAGAATGGGACTTACAAAAATTAAAGCACAAACCATTAAACTAGAAAACCAGAAGAAAAAGCGGGGTTGGTTGCATGTGCCTGTAATCCCAGGGAGAGATGGGAAGATCAAGAGTTCAAGGTTTAGCCGGGCAGTGGTGGCACACATCTTTAATCCCAGCACTGGGGAGGAAGAAACAGGTGAATCTCTGTTAGAAGCCAGCCTGGTCTACAGAGCAAGTTCCAGGACAGGTAGGGCTTACACAGAGAAACACTGTCTCGAAAAACCAAAAACCAAAAGCCAAAAAAAAAAAAAAAAAAGAAAAAATTGGCTACATTGGGAGTTAGAATCCACATAGGAAACAGAGGGGGTTCTGTTTTAATTTTCTTTTGTTTACCTTTGGACTCATAACTTTCTTGCTTCAAAGTCCCAAGTACTTCACCAGTATACCTTCATGTTCATAGCAACTGAGATCTTTGAACGAGTGTAGTTTCTCATACAAAAACAACCCAGGGAGAGTCAAACAATTCTCCAAGTGAATTAAACCTGAAAACACAGTTTATTTCCTCTAACAGTCCAATTCCTTTCTTAGTAAACTGTTAATTCAATTCATCAAAACCATAATTATGCCAACCCTCTCACTTTTCTTTTTAGTACGAAGAAGGCCCATGCAAAAATCTAATTTCTTCACACAGAACATATGCAGTCCAGGGCAGGCAGTTCTCTGTGGAGGCTTTCTTTTTCTTTTTTCTTTTCTTTTTTTCTTTTTTTTTTTTTTTTTTTTTTTTTGGTTTTACGAGACAAGGTTTCTCTGTATTGTTTTGGAGGCTGTCAGTCCAGCCTGGCCTCGAACTCACAGAGATCTGCCTGCCTCTGCCTCCTGAGTGCTGGGATTAAAGGCGTGCAACACCAAAGCCCAGCAACCTGTTTCAGTTCTAACGACTTTAATTAGAGGACATTGTCTTACATCTTCAGACAGGTAGGCAGCCTATTGCATCTCTGAGTCTTTCTAGGTATGAGCCTAGGCCCAAGGACATGTATTCTTATGCCTGATCAAGTGGCTTAGATGTTTATAGCAGATCAGTATAGGGCATTCAGATAAATGTGTAAATATACAAGTAGGGTACACATGTCCCCAAAATTGCATGGGATATACTCATACTAGCTATATGCACTGATTTTCTTCTAAGATTTTTAATTTTTATGTGTACAGATGTTTTTGCTTGCATGTATGTTTAGTACCATGTAAGAGGCTTTTGGCTTCCCTGAAACTGGAATTAACAGATGTTTGTGAGCCACCATGTGGGTGCTGGGCCTCAACCCTGGTCCTCTGGAAGGACAGCCAGTGATATTAAGAGCAGAACCATCCCCCAGTCTTTGCACCAGTTTTCTGAAATTCAGAATTAACTTGGTATTCTGTCTGACAACTCTACTGTCATTGCTCTAGCCTCAGAACTCCCCCAAGATATCTTGGATTTGGTAACATTCTCAATGCCTTTAAGAGAAAGTTGTTAAACTGAACAATTAATCTTGAGACAGAGTCTCACTTTGTAGCCCTCCCTGGCTTTGAACTTGCTATGTAGATCCAGCTGACTTCAAATTCACAGAGATCTGGCTGCCTCCACTTTCTCAGTGCTGTGATTAAAGGTTTACACCACGCCCAGTTAAAGTCCTTTATTTCTGATATGATCTCCAAGGCCCTGCCAAACTCTCCACTTTGCTGCACCTCTGACTGTCTTGTCTTCAAGTTTCAACATGGCCAGTCCTGCCTGGATGTACCTCCCTTCCCGTCTTCTCTAATCCTTAGGCTTTTTCTCCCATACCATGTGAAGGCGAGGGTGTAATGATTTCACTAGACCCATGAGAAATGATAAACGGGTGTTTACTGGGGCACTTAGACCGAAGAAGGCAAAGAACCGCAGGAGCACTTCTCTGCCCTTCCTAAGGGGTCAGCTGACCCGAGAGAAAGACCCACGCCTTATGCTTCCCTCTTTCAGCTTCTGTCCTCCTGAGGCCACACCCAAAGGGGTGTGGCCACTGTTACAGGCAAGACCACTACAATCACGTGCTAGTCAATTTAAAAATCATCAAGGTTTATTTCAACCCACAGTTTTGGAGGTTTCAGCCTTTTACCTATTGCCCCCTTGCTTTTGGGTCTGGAAATCTCCTGATGCTAATACATGTATAAATTAGCCATACCTTTGTTGGCTGCCCTCTGTACATGGCCTGCTTGTATCATAATATAACTCTAGTTGTTCTCCTGAAGGATGCTTTGCATGATACCAGGTATGCAATGAGCCTTTCTCTGCCCCACCTGCCAGCTTCCAAACCACACAGAGACTTATTATTAATTATGAATGCTCAGCTTTAGCTTAGGCTTGTTTCTAACTAGCTCTTTTAGCTTAAATTAACCCATTTCCACTAATCTGTATGATGCCACCTGGCTCATGGCTTTTACCTCCCCTACTGCATGTCCTGCTTCTTCTGTGTCTCCCGGGCCTAGATTCATCTGCTCTTCTTTTCTCTGTGCCCAGAAGTCTCACCTAACCTCTTCCTGTCTAGCTATTGACCATTCAGCTCTTTATTAAACCAATCAGAAGGCGCCTTGGCAACTACACGTCTTCACAGCGTACAAAAAAGATTATTCCATAACACAGGCATCAAGCACCAGCTAACTAAGTACATATGCACACACACAAATATATATATGCATATATATGATCTAATGACCTTGTGACTGTACAACTTTTCAATTGTATGTGAAGGGGCCCTGAAATGACTCAGTAGCTCAGGTGCTTGCTTCAAAGTCTGACTGCCTGGGTTCAGTTCCCTGAACTCACAAGGTAAGAGGACAGAAACGACTGACGATCACGTCACGCACACACAGGAGTGCCCGTGAATACACAAACACACACACACAGATAGCTAAATTAGTTTAGTTTAAAACACCAAAATAAAGTGTTCTTAGCAAACCACCTAAACCCCTTAGAGGTTTCCCTGCTTTGCCGTAACCAGCCTAACCTGTGGCCTTAAAAATGCATTTGACAAATGTCTTGATTAGTGATTTTCATTTTTCTAGAACTAATCAAACCCCGTGTAAGAACATCTAGAGTAGATTGTCATTTTGGGGCAAGCTGCATATGTGTTCCCTAACCACCGTCCCTCACATTTGTCTCCAGAAAAAAACTTTAGACAGGAGCTGTGTTTTTAGCGGCATTGTGAGGATGCTTGTGAGGATACTCAGGGGGACAGTCCAGTTGGTCACTTGTTGCACTGGGTGGCTCCCGCTGGCCTGGTCCCTCGGGGGGCCCAGAGGACAGAGCCCGCAGCGCACGCGCAGATGGGTGGGCGCGCGCCTGCCCTTGCCCCCTCCGCCCGCCAGGTGGCGCTGGCGACCCGCCGCCGCCTCTCGGAGGCCGACGCGGGCGGCGCCGGGCGCCTTGCGGGCCGCGGGTCCGCCTCCGCCGCGCCGAGGGCGTGGGCTCCGGGCTCCCGGAAGCGGCGGCCGCGGCGTGGAGCCCAGCGGGCTGTCGGTCGCCGGAGCGACCATGCGCGGCGGCCCGGGGCTGTGAGCTGAGCGCGGCCGTGAATGGCGGCTCGCTGAGGCGGCGGCGCGGCGCGGGCTCCTCCCGGCGTGGGGTGGCGGGGCCGGGGTGATGCTGCTCAAGCTCCTGCAGAGACAGACCTATACCTGCCTCTCCCACAGGTATGGGCTCTACGTCTGCTTCGTGGGCGTCGTTGTCACCATCGTCTCGGCTTTCCAGTTCGGAGAGGTGAGTGGCGGAGCCCGAGCCCTGCAGCCGCGTGCGCAGCCCTCCCCGGCCGAGCCCCGCACCGCCGGCGCCCCGCGTCTCCCTCCCGCCTCCCCATCCTCCCCTGCAGCCTGGGGACCCAGCTCGCCGCCCACCGTCCCGGGCGCCCACAGCGCGCATCCTTCTCCGCGGCTCGGCTGCGGCACCTGGACCGGACGTCCCGGCCTCGCGTGCTCCCGTGTGCGGGTTCCCTTCCTCCCTCGGGCCGTCCCCAAGAGCCCTCCAGTCATTTGACTTTTGCTCTCAGGCCTTGCGCCGGTGAAACTCCCTTCTCGGGCATGCAGTTGGTTTTTTTATTTTTATTTTTTCCTTTCTATAGTGATCCTCCATTCCTTGGCCCTCCTTCAGAGCCTGGTCTCCGGTGCCACCCTACTAATCTTTCACCTCTGACCAAACACCTTATCTTCTTAATCCGGTTTCAGACTTTATCTACGAGGCACGTGCAGTTTTGCACGTGAATTTGCATAGGGAAGGTTTTTTTTTCCTTAACCCCCCCCTTCACTCTTGCTGTGCTGTGTTGAACAGCTGTATGTGAGCGGGTAGGTGGCCTCGGTGGTGAGAATGCTCTTGTGGTTGGAAGGCACCAAGTGCTTGTCCTAGATAAGCTGAGAGTAGGGTCCGCGTCAGGTGACTAGGACTGCCTGCCGACCTTGGACTCCAGCCCGGGACGTCTTGGGAGCCAGCACAGACCCTTGCGTCATGGGGTATGCTAGTACTTTTTAGAGAAGGCACTGGTCCTTCTTTGACAGAGACCTACGCTTAATTCATGTGCAATAAAGCAGTTTGGTTACATTGTAAACTTTTCAAGGGACACAGGCAACCGGTTTGGGAGGTGGGAAGCACCAGGTGAAATGGGTTTTGTGTTCCTTTGGAGACGAACGTTGGACGTTTTTGGACCGAAATTACTCTTTGTTTTAAATTTCATAGTTATTTGATTCTTGGCAGTCTGAAACAGCACTACCTTAAGTGCAAAGGGCGATGGATGGGCACGGGGGTGTGAGTCAACAAAACACTACTTCTGGAAACAGGAAGAAACGTTGTGCTTTCAAATGGCTTGAAATTTGTCTCCCAATTTTATTTGTTTGTATTTTAGCAAGAGGTTTAAAAGGTTTTTAAGATGAACTGAATGATTTTATTATAAAATGCTACAATACACATGCATTGTAGAGGAGGTTTTTAAAGGAAGTAACTCTAGTCCAAGCTCAGTGCCAGGAACCACCACTGTATGAGACTAAGCGTGTGTTTAGTGACTGGCTGAATTATATGACATGTGTCTTGGTTTGTTTTTAGTGGTTCCAGGGACTAGAAAAAAATAGTCTCACAAGTTGGAATGAGAACACCCCAGGCTTGTAAGAGTGGGATATTTTCTTAATATTACAGTGCCTCCTAGCTTGTCTTTGTTTCATGGGTTATAACTTGATGCGATTGTGTATAGTTAGTACTGCTTTTGGGTGACTTTGTCTTTAAAATGTCTCAACTAAATTGCCCCAGCCAGCCAGAAGTTTGCAGTCTTCTTGTGGCAGCCCTCCCAAACGCTGAGGCCACTGGGTTATGTTTTTGACCTGGTTAATTTTAAGTGAGCAGTTGATTAGCCACAGTGTAAAATACATTTATTACAGCCTTGAAGTGCCCACAGATTTTTGTTTCACTTTGAGACAGTCATGTAGCCCATGACTGGCCTATAACTCCCTATGTTGACCTGGCTGGCCTTGTACTCACAGAGATCCACCTGCCTCTGCATCCAAAATGCTGCGATTGAAGGTGTATGTCACAATGCCTGGCTTGTGGGCAAAGATCTTAAAGTTTAGATTGTTAGAGAAATGAGGGGCTGTGTAGCTCATTGGTAGAGCACTTGCCTGGCATGTACAAGGTCCTGCGTTCAGTCCCCAGCACTGAAAGTCCTACCAAACAACAAGCCAATTAGAGAAACGAGAGAAAAGAATGTTGAAAGGCAGCATGAGAGGCGTGGCAGCTGGTCTGCAGTGCTTACAGAGCCGTGGAGAAGAGGAGCTGCAGACCCAGGTAGATGGAATCTGGATTTGTCTGTTGGCTCCAGTTAATAACCGTGATAATAGCAAACATACCTTTCTAGGCGTTCTCTTGACTGCCTTACATACTAATTTAGCCTTCACAGTATCATCTAATGTAGACAAGATTATTTTACCCACCTTACAGGTTATGCAACTGAGGTATTTGCATAATTTAACACAGCTAGTTCTTGGCAGACATTTGCATCCAACTTAGACAGTTGACTCTGATGCTATCATCATAATAACACTTCTTTTTAGTCTCTGTTTTAAAAAAATTCTCATTAATTTATTTATGTTGTGTGTGTGGGTACACATGTGTACATTGTGCGTGTGGTTCTCTCTGCCTCGTGGTTCCTAGAGATCAAACTCAGCCTGGGGTTTGGCAGCTTTTATCCCCTAAGCTCACTCATTACCGCTGCCTCCCTTCCTTCCTCTGCTGGGGACTGAAGCTATGACCTTCTGCATCCAAGGCAAGAGCTTTACCCTTGAACTTCTCCCCCAAGCTCTCAATGGTTTCTCAAGCAGCTCACACTTATCTGATCTGGGAAAAGAAATCTAACCCCTCTCAGCCTCCTCTTGAAAATAAAGGCAAGGGTATCTTCTTGCCAGAGTCAATATGGGGATTGCCTGTGTGAAACACTTCATTCTGTTGATAGCACTGTTGAACCGTCCTAGCTAATGCCCCACTCAGTGTTACCATCAGTTATTTTGTCTCCGTCTTTACTTTGAAATACTTTCTTGAAACCATACTTTATGTATGTAGCACCAACTTGTTAACTAGTTATAATGCATATAAGGGTTAAAAAAATCATTGTTAAATTTCAAGTTCATTAATTTCCCCCTCTTAGTGTTAGAGGTAATCTGTGTATTTGTGTGTGTGTGTGTGTGTGTGTGTGTGTGTGTGTGTGTGTGTGTGTGTGTGTGTGACGATCCCCTGGACCTGAGTGACAGGTAATGTTATTGTTATAATGTGAGCAGCTCAGGATGGGTGCTGGGTTCAAACTCCAGTCTGCTGGAAGACTGCTGAGCCAGCTCTCCAGACTCTGCTAGAGTGCCCCCATCCTGTGTGTTTGAGACAAGGTCATTTGTACCCCAGGCTAGCCTCCAGCTCCATAGGTACCCAAGAATGACCTTGAACTCCTTTCCGAGTCTCCTGCTTCGACCTCCTTAGTGCTGGGATTATAGTTGTGCAACACTGTGCCCAGTACGGGATCTAACCCAGGGCCTCCAGGGCCTTATGCATGATAGGCAAACACTGTATTAATTAAACTATCTCCCCAACCCTGGGTTGTTGCATTTTAGTAAGTCTTTTGAACATTGGTCCAAATTTTGAGGAAAAATATAATCAAGGGAGAGATCTACTAAGTAACTTGTTTTTCCCTAGAAGTGGGGCCAGGTACTCTCTGGAGAACCCTTGGGAATTCTTGGGAATTCCCTTGGGGTAAATAGAAACATGGCTGGACCCATAGATGATGATCTAGAGGATGAGCCGAGCCCTCATAGTGGACACCCTGGCCTGAATGAAATGACATGATGCCTCCAAGGTGCGAGAGGAGGCTTTTATTGTAGATGTGAGGAAGAGCGCTTCCAGAGGCACTGGCAGAAGTCCAGAGCAGGGAGAGAAAGGAGTAGACCAAACATGGCCAGTAGATTGGACTGCTCATGAGAGGAGGTTTGAGAGAGGAGCAGGAGACAGAGGGGAGGGGGAAGGGAGAGGAGAAGAGAGTAGAGAGCAGGGGGAGCTAATGCGTGCTGAACGCAGGCAGGGTTTTATAGGACCGAGGAGCTCAGAGGGGAAGCCCCTGAGCTGGAGAAGTTTAGGGGGGGAGAGAAGAACTGGGGGAGCCAGGATGCCAGCATGGACTCTAACTGGTGCTTGTGCTGCTGAGAGAACCTGGGGTCAGCACACACGTTAGTATGCTAATAAGCACCACAGTTAGCCATTTGTCCCCAGTCTCCTTAGGATGACAGGTCACAGCAGCAGGTGAGGGTAGTAGCTTGTTTGTTGTAAGTCTGAGTTCCTTATAAGTCAGAGCACTAGACTGTGTCCTTAAGAGTCCTTTATTTAAGCAATCTAGATCAACTGTGCCCTCAATTCAGAAATGTTTGGTTCTGCTTTGTAGGGTACAACATGAGTATAACATTAGTACCCAGGAGACAGGTAGGAGATCTGAGCATTAGAGGTTAGCCTGGACTGCACAGTGAGACTTTGACTCCAAGGAAAAAGGAAACTTCTGGCTTTAGCATTAGTGTCTGTTCTGTCTTGTTATAGTTGCTGTTATGTGTGGTAAGCCCTACTATTGATAAGAATGTATTTCCGGCCCATCATCATTGATAAACAAATCTACACACCCTTTCCTGAAACTTCCAAGACTGCTGCATTATCTCATCATCAAATACCTGCACTCTCTGGTGAAGTTCATGAATATTTATACGCCATGAGGAAAATGCTGACTATAAATAGTCTAATGTCAGTTGGGTCAGGGTTTACCTCCAAATGAGTTCAAGGCAGGTCAAGTATGCTGCCAGGTTAGGCACAGAGGCAGCTTCTTGGATTTTAGGATTGTGAATGGAGAGTTGTAGATCACGGGTACATGGGCGTTTGTATGTGAGCCTTGTCTTACTTGGGAATATATCGCTTCCTTCAGTAAACTAAGTGAGGAAACAAAATCAAGTCACATAGGAAAGTCGGTAGGGTCGGTTAAAGCCTGCTCCTACTGTTTGAGAATTTCCCCTTTACCCCCTGCTCCCCCCTTGTCTGTTTATGGTCATGGCTTTTTGATTTATGAAGCATTCCTTTTCCACCATAAAGAGGATTAAAAACCAGGTCCAGCTCAAGTTAACCTTTTCAACTAGTTTTCTTAACTTGTCTAATTTCTGGAAAGAAGTGAGTTACCATGTTTAATTTTGATTGGTTTCCTGCTTAAAATG